TCATACCGGAGGTGAAGCCTCTCAACTTCTTGGCGGTTGTCAAAAAGATATCGTTTAAAAGCTTAAAAATGTTTAAACGTTCTTACATTCGTTTTTGCTGGGATTTGACTGAACCACCAGTAAGCGGTTCCTGGAAGACAGTGAAACTGTCTTCCAGTACCCCAGACCGGTGGTGGGTAGGGGAGCAAGCGACTCACACGAGCATACCCAAGCCCGCCACGAAAACAGAACGGGGCAGGTGGTCACAGTCAAATTCCTTTTTTACGTTGGGTCTGTTCTCAGGGGCGACAATGATTGCAACGACGACAATAATGAAACAAACATTGACAAATACTTGTACGGCCTGCTATTTCCGCAACTACCAACAACAACAACTACTACTACTTCTTCTTCTACTACTACAAAAACTACTACTACTACTACTACTACTACTACTACTACTACTAGTACCACTACTACTACTACCTTACTACCTTACTACCTTACTACTAGGACTACTACTACTACTACTACTACTGCCACTACCACTACCACTACTACTACTACTACTACTACTACCACTACAACTACAACTACTACTACGACTATTACTACCACCACTAACCCTCTACCAGTACCGCTGCCAGTACCACTACCTTTACCACTACCTGTTGACCTTTGCCGCTACTAGTACTACTACCACTAGGACTTGTACTACGACTACTACTACTGCTGCTACTACACGACTACTACTAGGATACTATATACTGCTACGAACTACTCTTTTTAAGACGACGACGACTACTACTACTCCTACTTCTTATTCAGTATCTGCGACTGGCTACTTCGACAACAAAACTGACCGGGATGACAACAAAAACACAACCTACTACTACTCCTCCTCCTCCTGCTGCTGCTGCTTTTTTACCATTGCCGATTACCCACAACCGACCGCCGGCTACACACTAACGACGCTCCAACCTACTACCGCTACTACTACTGCCACTACTACTACCACCACCACGACGACTACTACTACTAGCACTACTAGCACTACTAGTACTACTAATACTATACTACTACTACTACTACTACTTCTTCCTCTACTACTACTACTGCAAACTAGTTTGAAAAGCTGCCAGTCTCACCTTGCACATCTATGTCTACACCTATGTTCGTGTCTACACCTGCTCCCGCCTACTTACCCACCTACTAAGTACTATCCAGTAACTAGTAGCTGTACTTGACTACTAGTTAACAGTGCCCACACCACCTACAAGTACCACCTCTACTTCCACTACTGATTTGTATACCACTTCCACTGTGACGATGACGACGACAACTACTTATAATACCCTATATCCGCAGCTGTGTCGTCGTGTTCGTTGTACCTTGGACGATGAAGAGGTCAAGATGGTATGAAGCCCTAGGCTTGCTCGGTCCGTATCGATGTGAAGGCTAAGCTTTAATGTCAAAAGACCAAAGAACGCCTTCAAATGAAAAACTGTCGACCAGCCGAAAACCCGAGCAAACACGTTCTGTTATCAAACGGAATCAAACCCGAGGGTTATAGGGTCCCAGACCCTTCATCGCTGATCACCATGCGCTGCCAGGTGACAGGTGACACGAAGGCTCTCGGGTTGGTCGAGCCGGTGGGGTCAGCATGGTGTTGCCGATCTTTGCAATCGACAGCCTCGACAGCAGGGGATCTTTTTCTTTGCAGGAAGCACTGCTGAAAGCTTCCAATTTTTGAAAGATATTCAAAATGGCTCATAAAAACCTATCTATATATATATATATGTGTTTTTGTATACAGCTGCTGTGCCTGATGAACTTTGTTCATGTATAGAAGAGTGGGCAACAAGAACACGCCGCTGCTTGAACTGTTGAGTCAAACGGCACGTTCGCTCCCTCCGGTCCATCGGTGGGTGCACCAAAGAGGTGGATGAGGAGGGAGCAAGTCCGGACTCTTGGGGAGGCACCTCAGCACCGGTCTCCGGTCCGGTGTCGGGTCCGCCACTCCTGAGCAAGCGCGTGGAGCAGTGCCCAAGGTTGGTGCGCGGGGTGAGCGGCGGTCACTCGGCGTGTTTGAGTTCTTGCCAGGGCAGACCGTTGGCTTCGTTGCGTGTGCAGAGCATCTACAGTTTGTAGTTTATAACGTTCTGTGTTTGAGTGGTATCGGTATGATGGTAAGATTTTGGTAGACCTGTTGATGGAAAGTGTTTCGGACCTAGTTTTGTTTTGTTGAGGACATATATGCATTGTCCTCTTATGACTTCCTGAAGTGACCCCGGCACCGGAGCAGCAACGTTTCTCCGAGAAGCATGGAAGATGCGAAATCTCCGTCCAGTGACACACCTTGTCCTTTCTCAAGATTTTGAAGAATGATGACCATGGTTTGCTGGGGGCAGCTGCCAGGCTTGCTGGTGCTTTGTTTTGCCAGCAGTCCTGTCTTGAGAAACTGGTGCGTGGAGGCCCTGCTGGTGTGCAGTTTGTGACCCTGTTTGTGCGCGAAGACCATGCAAACAAGGTTCCGGGATTGCTTGCGCTGCTGTAGGCAGCAGCTTCTTGTCCTGGCTCTGGAGTGAAAGTGTATAGCCATCTCAAAAAGCTGCGAGAGATGTACTCGTCATACAGAACCAGCTGTGGACCAAAGAGCAAACCATGGCTCCAGATGAGGGCCTTGGCTCCACCTGAATTGGCAAAGCTATATTTCAAAGAGGTACCTCACCTTATTTGTGAGACACCTGTTGTTTTTGAGTTCTTGCGTGAGAAAGTCGATCGCGATGCGATCTGTCCGGGCAATTGGCAGCGGCTCCAGGTAGCCTGGCCTGTGTCAAGCAAAGGTTTGAAACACAAGGGCCAAAACAGCCGTGTCAGAGAAAAGAGGGTTTGTTTCATTCTATGTTTGCCAGCCAGTGCCTTCTTGTTGATCTTTTTCGCCGCAGAAGCAGGCTGATCGACTGGCTTGGTTCCTTTTCCGAACAAATGTTTGATGAGGTCTCTCAGCTGCGTGGCTTGCCCGTGGATGCGCGGCCGCCCATCTGACTCTGGAGACTGGTTTCCATTTCACAGACTCACATGCGGGAGACAGAGCAGTTGCGCTTGTGAGGAAGCGAAAGCCGAAGCGATGTTCGATTAGTGTGCCATGCACTGCGTACACCATTAAATATGCAGAACCTGACAAAGAAAACAAAGCAGTCCACGCGCAGGCTCAAATTCCAACGAAAGGAAACCAGGGAGATCACCTGCCAATGTTTGAGGATCGCACGGGCAGTGATACAAGAACATGGAGATGTTGTGTTGGAGTGGCCTCGCACTTGCAGGGCATGGCAGCTGAACTCATACGGAAGTTTCAGACATGGTTGGTATATAGTGTGAGTGTGGATGGTTGTATGTACGGAATGAAAACCCAGACACCGGAAACTCTTTGAAGAAGAGCTGGCGGTTGATGTGCACTGAAGCAGCTATGCTTCAGGTAACAAAAACGTGTAGCAAAGCCCACCGACAAGAGGTGGCACATGAAGAGATTCAGGGGCAGCTGACAGCTTCGTCAGCATTTTACCCTGTGGGTTTGATCCACAGGGCTTGCGCGGTGTGGCAGCAGCAGGGGTGAGGCTGGTGCATGCTGGTGCAAAACAATCATCATTGATTTGCGCTGTCTAAGCTGCTTTCCGCTTGTTGGCTGATCCTTCTGTGGCACCTAGTTTGATTTAGCTTGTCTCCTACTATTGCAAAACCTTTGCAAGCAAGAGCACGTTGTCAGATTTGCAAGCCTTGTTTTGGGCTGTCGGGGGGTGTGGAGTGGAGTTGGTCAGCGACCTCAAACAACAGGACTCACAACACTTCAGGGTGCATGTCTAAAAGAATTAGGTGTTTGCCTGTTTGTATCAGGGCAGGTTGCGACTTGTGTAGTTGACACCGTTCATGCAACTAGGATTGGATCTCACTAGTTGCCTTTGAGTTTATGTTTCTACAAACTTTGATCTGAGTATGCGCCTTATGAGTTGATACATACTGGCTGTGCCTATGTCTGTGAAGCATACCTGCAAGCAGTCCTTTGCCAGGCTGCAAGCTGAATGAGTAGTTTGCGAGTGGCTCCACACAGAGTCATACAGTTCACATCCTTCACTGCTTAGGAGCCTGGTGCTGTTTCTAAAGCATACGTCTTTGTGGCAGCAACAAGCGTTGCCAAGACCCCAGGCTCCGGTCCGAAACCAAAACGGTTAGCTTTGGAATGCAGATGGGCTGTCCAGAAGGAAAAAGAAACTGCACAAGGGGCGGTACCAGATTTGTGTGGGTTTTGATATGTTTCGACTAGAGAACCTGGACGAGCTAAAGAACATGAGAGGATCCAAAACTGTTGGCTAGACGACGACTACTACTACTACTACTACTCCTGCTGCTGCTGCTGCTGCTAGTACTACCAGTACTACAGCTGCTACTACTACTACTACTACTACCACCACTGCAACAACGACAACTACTAGTACTACCACTAGTACTAGCACTATAGTACAATGATTACCACTACTGGCAAAAGTACATGTTGGCTGGTTGTTTTCGGGGGTCCAAAAAACAACGACGGGGCTGCAGATTTTGTTTCCACCCCCTTGTAGAGACAAAGGAACAAGATATGTTGTATTGTAACGGGGCTGGGCTGCAGTTTTTGTTTCTACCTTGTTGTTGTTGTTGTGGTTGTTGTTGTTCTTTTTTTTCTTGTTGTTGTTCTTGGTTTTGTTCTTGTTGTTCTTGTTTTTGTTGTTTTTGTTCTTGTTCTTGTTGTTTTTGTTTTTGTTCTTGTTGTTTTTTTGTTGTTGTTGTTGATGAACGTCGTTTTTGTTCTTGTTATTGTTGTTGGCGTCGTCGTTGTCATGTCATGCTTCAAACGAACACGTCAAGACACTCCACGAGGTAGACAGGATGTTCCTCAATGTGCAGTACAGTACATAGCTATAGACTGTTTCTAAAAAGGTCAGTGGAGGCTTGGCTTCATTGAAGCTAAGCCTGTGATTTGCGAGGCCATTCAAGTCATCGAACATGAAGAATTTGTGGTACATAGTGCAGAAGAGCGGTTGATCTATCGACAAGCCTGCCATGACCACAACATCTTTGACTCAGATTCCTACAGGAATGCGAGCTTGGATGACCGTGCAGGGTTGTTAAAACGATGTGCCCACTTCTGTCTCAACATGGGTGCAGAAGATGCCACGGATGCTGTGCGTCTACTTGGAGCCAGGAAGCGTGCCCGTATTCAAGCGCTTGAGAGGCAGTTGGAGATCGAAGCCTCGCGTGCTGCCCATTTGTCCTGTTGGCTTGTCTGCAAGGAAGGTCTTGTCTCCAAGGCAGTTGGACTTCGACATCCAAATGCCAAGGCCTTCATCCAGAAGATTCATGACTCCGGGCCGGAGCTTTTGCAGGACAAGGACCAGAAGTCGCTGGAGATGCTGTTGGACCTCTTCGATCGGAACGGAGACTATCGCTTGCGTCCGGAGGTCCGCTTCCAGCAGCCCTGCCGCGAGGATGACGTCTATCCACGCTTGGCTCACCGACACGTGGTTTGGCATGCGGTGGCGGATCTGACGATGCACCAGGGAGCCAAAGAGATCCTATCTGAAACGCAAGTGTGCCAACAGGCTGTGTGGTGAAAAGAAAGACGTGTTGAGTTAGTTGCAATATTTGGTGTTCAAAGTTCCTTTGTTTTGGTATCTTTTGTTTTCGAGATGTCTGCAGGAGATCACAGTTTACAAGTTTGCCCCATGTTTTATCATCGTGCGTCCAGGTTTGTTGTGGAGACCGCTTGCCTCAACTACAACAAGCCATCTCAGCTGGCTTCCAATCACTTGCTCAGAGCTTGGATGCTGCCTATCGCAGCCTTGATTTCTACACGGGGCAAATGAAGGGCATCTCTGATCCTCAACAAGCCACCTGCTCCATTTGCATGGAGGCTACGAGTGATCTGACCTCTTTGGTGCTGCTGCCATGCGCACACATCTTCCACAGGTCATGCGTGGAGCCCGTACTGCGGGAAAGCCCTTACTGCCCCTACTGCAGGGCTCCCACTCCGAGCCGTGCGCTGTCGTCTGTTTGCCTGGAACTTGAAGCTGGGCCAGGCAGGGAAGGGGCTGCCACGGTCGCGAAAAAACGCACCTGTTGTGGTGAAAAAACGATAAAACACGTGTGTTTGGACAAGAAGATGGCCTGCGAAAGGGACCGGACATGACCATGCTATTTACATCTAGTTTTACATCTATTTAGCCATGTTTAGCCATGTTAGGTGGAAAAGTGTAGCCTAACTGCAGAGTGGACAGTGCTGTCCTGTGCTCACTCAGATGTCACACGTATCGAAGTCATCGGACCGAACCGATGGAAGACGAGTGTCCAGATGTGTCCAGACACCTCACCATGGCGCATGCCGGACACGTTCGCTCCATTTGTGGGTCCTCCCGCCAGGACAAGCTGTCCAGCAAGAGGCCCTTTCTCCAGAGCTTCGCTCGCAGGGCTCCAAGGTACTCGCGATTGCTCGACGCTTGCAACGGATCCGCGCGGAGGACCCAGAGGCCAAGGCCGGGTTGATGGGCGGATTTGGGGGACCTGCATGGAGTCGGCAGCTTTGCAATTCTGGACAGAGATTCCACCTTTGTTTAGAAAACAATTATATACATAAATAGCTGTTAACACATAAAACATAAACATATGGGAATGCCAAATGTTTGAGCAGCGTTGGTACCTACGCTCTGGTTTGAGATTTGTTGTTGTCCATGCTACCAAGGCCATTGTCTTTGTGCAGTGGCAGGAGCTGGAGCAGAAGGCGGAAGAGGGCAAAAGAAGACCCACACATTGAATCCCAAGAGTGGGACAAGAGCCACGTCCATGGCAAAAGAGCCATGACTAGTTGTGCGTAGTTGTGTTGGAAGCTTTGAGTAAAGATATTTGAGCTGCAGAGTAAGTGGATGCGAACTGCTGACACTTGACCTTCATCTACATCCATTTGAAGGAATGGACAAAATATTCTTCACCTCCTGGCATACAACAAACCGTCAAACCTGGCAGACAACACCACTAGCAACACCATCAATGCTGTGGGTATTCCATGGTATTCCTGTCCTAACAGTCTACAGCTACAGCTATAGTAGATATGTTTGAGGGTTTGGCAGGTTTGCTCAGATCCAGTTCTGCCTCTCGCAGTGCTGCTTTCAGGGACATGTTGCGGGACACGTTTGTGCAGACTTAGGGCTCACCAAGGGAAGAATGGTGGAGTGCAGCGTATGTTGCTGCATACCCCCTTGATTCAGACACTATAAAATGTCATCCCGCTTGATCCACAGCCAGCTTCTCATTCAAGGGGGGTGTTGCTGCATACATGTTGATGACACATCTTCAGATCGTTTCCTCATTCTGCATGGGGCACCTTGCTGCCAGGTGGCGCACGCCTTGACGTGCCACGGACTGCCAGCCTGGCAATTGCCACGCGGGCCCAATGCCACCAGGGAGATGGCACAGAAGATGAAAGACTTCTGTACTTCTAAGGAGACACAGACCTGCCAGTGGGTGCAGGCTGCGTAGAATGCGTTTCTTTGTTTTGGGTGGTTTGTTGCCTCACCAAGATGATAAAGCATATCGAGCAGGAGCAAGTGTCATCATACCTGACTGTGCATTCCTTTCTTCCGTCCTCCCCAGTCCAACGTGCAGGAGTCCTTTGTCTTGCTGCTGTCGCTGGAGCATGCAGCGTCCGGATCCAACTTGACGGCAGCGCACCACGTGATCTTTGTCCATCCGATGAATGCAGACACATTGAGTTCAGCAGTGGCCTATGAACAACAGGCATTGGCTCGAGTTCGACGGGTCGGACAGCTACGCAAGGAAGTCCATGTGTGGCGCTTTGTGACTCGTGACACGGTGGAAGAGCATTTGCATCAGTTTCTTGGATCAGAAAGGCTGATGCAACTGAGATATCCCAAGGTTTGACAGTAATTACAAGTCATGTTTGCATCGATCTATGCAGATACATACAGATACAAACCCGAGTTTTGCAATTTGATAGCACATGCCACAGAAGAGAATACGAACTCAATGACGATCATTGAAGGCCCTCCTTCAAATTGAAGCATGTGTGATGTATTTTGATGCTTGTTTTTGAGCTAAGCCCTCCTTCAAATCAACGCATCTAAAACCGAAGCTCTTTCTGTGTTAAACCAAAGCCATGTTGAAGTGAAAGAGTCGTCATCGCATGCTCAGCACGAAACACCGAGACAGCCCTTGAGGTTGCACCGTGCGCAAGTACCGACTCCCTTGTGCGATGCTTCCAGAGCTGCCGGGGCATGAGAGAGGTGTCAGATGGTGCCAGGAAGGAACAACAGAACAGATGTTTACTGACAAAAATGGGGATTTGATGGGTCTCGATGTACTACAGTTACGTGCTTATATATAGAATGCTAGATGAATCTAGATATGATCTTCAGCATCCTTGTTCATTGCTTTTGATGGATTGACTAAAGCAGTCAGCTGTTTGCAAAATGACTCGGTCGACCTGAGATATCCTGAGATCCATTGGAGCCGCGATAGGGGTGAAACGTCCTTCGCCATGCTAGGGTTCTGCATGATTCGACGATTTCCGCGGCCAGACTCGACCTGTGAAAAAGGATGGTGCTGCTTTGGGGTCTTGTTGGTCAGAACACAAAAGCAGACATGTATGCTTGCATGGATCTGGATGATCTTCAGGATTTGCACGATGTTCAGGTGTTAAATCTGTGTGGTTCACGACTGCCACCCAGGCAATGGCAGCCCGCAAAACTCAGCCACTGCCGAGCTCACTGTGGCACCCAAGCGTCCGTGTGCCGCTCCAAGCTCCGAGGCAACCCTTCACCAAGACCTGCGCACTCGTCCAGCGGTGGGGGACACCGAGAGGGCTCGGACGAGGAACGACAGAAGATGAACGATACGAAAGTCTGAACAAAAGCAGCAAGAACCTTCAGCCGAGGTAGACTTGGGAGACTTGGACTTGCAGTTTTGGGTGAGTGAGTTAGAGAGAGGCCCAAAAGTGAGTTCCGAACCGGCGCCCTGTTTTCTTAGCAAGGCCGGAACATGCCAGAGACGAAACTTCAACTCTTTGGCAGTTCCTTGAGGAGTCGACCAGCGTTTGGCATCTTGAGAGGACCTAACTCTTTCAAAGGAGTCTTTGTTGGTCCAGAGAAAGGCTTCCAGGGTGTTGAATCAGTGAAACTGCAGGTCCCTGCTTGACTCGGTCACCGAAGGAGCTTGGGGGACATCCCTCGTGTTGAAGTTTGACTGGCACGGTGAAGGTGAAGGATATTTTCCATCCACGAAAAGGATTGAAGACTTTTTGCCAACAACTTTGCTCCGGAGGATCTCCCCAAAAAGCATCCCAACTCCGTTGGTTTGGATCTTCGGATTCTCCTCGCAGAGGTTTCGGTGCTGGGAAGCCCTGCTAAGGCAGAGGACCGGAACCGAACTTGCGACAACAAGCGACCGAATAAGACGAAGCAGGTTTTCGCTTGGTGTCCATAAGATTTTGCATAGATGTGCAAGCTTTTGCCAGGTTTTTCTCAGGTTGCCCAATATAAGTGTTCCGCTGTTTGTAGTGACTTTAAGGGTGATGTGTCTTTTAAGAATGTTTGCTGATTGTTTGCTGAGACCGTTGCACAAGAGTGCTTCGTGTGATGGTCAATGATGTTCCTGCTTCTATTGTGGTCGTCCAAAACAATTCTCAAAGCTGGGGTTGAGCAACGCAGGTTTCCTAATACTTCTGGATACTTGCTTGGACACCATGTGGTCAGACCTGGTTTCGGGTTCTCATCTTCGATGTTCATGTCTTCAGCTGTGATCCTCATGTCGCCTTTTTAACCGAGCGAAACAGGCAGACAGGCGCCACAAGGGGATGGCAAAAAGATTCGCAGAGACTCAGACGCAGGCAGGTGTTCTGAACAAGTGGAGCTTCCGCTTTCTTCTTGTGTTTCCATGCTTTCATCATCATCGTCGTCGTCGTCTTCGTCGGTGTTTTCTTCTTCATCCTCATCACCATCATCATTCTCTGCTGGTTGTTTTTTTTTTCTGGCGATCTCGGTGACTGGGAGAAGTGGCTTCCTCAGCCTTCCGGTCGAATTTCGTTTGAACCCGGTGTTCATCGCTCCGTCTCGGTTGATGCTGCGGTCGATGCTGCTGCGATGCTTCGCCAGGACCTGGGTGAGCTACGTCGCTTGCAGAACGAGGCGATGAAGCGAGTGTTTGGCGAAGCGGGCACCGGGTCGAGACGGTCGAGGCATCTCGAGATGTTTAAAGTGTTGGGAGAGAGATGGACGCGTCATGCAGTGTCTACCAGGGGCCAAATGGGGCCTTGGATGGGTGTTGGGAAAGGCGTTCACTGGAAAGGTCGCAAAAAAGAAGCCCTGGGTTTACCCACAACCACGGCCATGATCTGCCAATGAATTTATGTAAGCGGTTTGATCCCTTGTTGTTGCAGGGACAAACCAACAAGACATGACTTCCAATAATGCTGACTGACATCAAATAGCGATGGCCTCCAACCTAATAGCGATGGCCTCCAACCTACTAGCGATGGCCTCCAACCTACTCGATCATTGAATATTGACACATTTATGAGGTCCTTGGTCAAACCATCAAACCTTTGTGATCTGCCACTGTTGGCCGGTGGACCTCCAATCCAAAGGCTCAAAAGCAAGCATTCTGACTCAAGCCCCTTTTCAGCTGAAATTAGCCCAAATGGGAATCAAGAATCCCTCTGATGCAAAAGGACTTTTGGTAAGATACAGAAGACTTAGTCGAAGCAACTCTCACCCAATGGCTGGAACCAATCCTTCGGCCTTACCCTTCCCATGCTTGGAGGCCATTCCTAGTGGGTTAAAGGCCATTCCTAGTACGTTGGAGGCCATTCCTGGTAGGTTGGAGGCCATTCCTAGTACGTTGGAGGCCATTAATAGGTTGCATCCCTTCCTTTCCATCGAAATGACACGAGCCGTCTCAGAGGTCTCCTCGCAACGCCGGGTCTTGGAGCGCATGTGCGGTCTGCCCAGCGGAGCGTCGGGCCACCGTTGCACCGGTCACATGTGCGGAAGGACAGGAACAAACGACTGAATCGCTCAAGCACGCCGAAGTTAGGATCAACCAGAAATGACTAAGACTGAGAGGTCACAAATGTGATATTGCTTGAATCCCTTCGTAAGTGTTTTGCATGCCAGTCCAGAGCAGACCGCTTTTCTTTATGGGATGAAGGGCCATGACAGTCCATGATGCATCGATCTGTGTATATGTCCTTGGAGAAGCCGTCCTTGCCCTTCAACGGTCCACCATTTTCTTATTGACTGGACCTCTCTATTATGTGAATCCTCGCACCAGGAGAGCAATAAAAAAAAGTGGGGAACCCAAATCGGAAACTAAAGAGGGCCATTTTGTGATCCTTTGAGCGTCATCCAGCGTCATCCTTTTGCGTGATCGGAGTGATCGTCTTGTCTTCCCGAGGTGTGTCGACACATAATCAGACGTGTAGAACCGTGTAGAACTGATGCGAAAGCGTCCGTCTTTCCAATGAGTTCCAACGTTTGGGGAATGGCGCCTGGCGCAGGAACTAGGGTGATTGGTGATGAGGTGGACATAGCGATGCAAATATACCTGGTGTTGCTTAAGGTGATCTTTTATTTTCCCATATTTTCCCCATGGTTAAATTCCCTTCTGGGGAATAGGTGTTTCCATGTTTTCCCAGGTTCCTTAAGAAAATCCAATAGGCATGTTGATGTCCTTTCGCCCGGCCACGGCCGCGGCTTGCGAGCGAGTGGTCATTCTTGGGGTCGTAGGGTCCATGTTCCACGTGGACCCAGATATAACACTCCCAGCTGTACTGAAGATGTACGGAGATGTGCTTTCGTGTTCAATTCTGACAACTCTTCATGAATTGAATTTGGTGGAGGATTCTTCACCTATCAGACACAAATCGTTACGTCCGATGTTACAAAGTGTTGTTCAATTGTCCAAGGTGACTAGACCCCTCAGAGCAACTGCACCTGAGCCACCGACGAAAGTGGCAATGGGCTACCTTCTCAGGTTCGGTACCTGGACCCTCCCAACCTACCTTCTCAGCGTCGATCGAACACATCACCTTGGATCCCGATCGGGAAGGCTTTGGGATGGTGGACTTGACAGGACACAATCTGAACACGATGGAATTCGGTCCATCCTCTCAGGGTTAGCCACTTGACCTCGGAGAATGGAAGCTCGGCCTTCGAACACCTCGTGGAGGACGGGGCGACACCCACATGCGCGCGCGGAGGCCAAAGTGGGGGCCAAATGCATCCAGAAAGCAGTTGAATCCATGTGGAGTCGTACGGAGATTTGCCTGACAGACAGACCCTGTCTTGTGTTTGCTTGACACGGTGATTTTCAGATTGCCGGAATCTGAATGGTGCCCTCTTCTGTTTGAAGAAGGTTCACGGCCTCCTTGATGTTTTTTTTTACATTACGTATACAGTATTGAGGATGCTTGCTGCATAGGAACCATGAAGAAAGAAGTCCTACTTGTTGGAACGAATCCTACCCTCATCGGAGGGTGGCTGGGTGAACTGCCTCGGTGCCGGCGGTTGTGACCTGGTGACTGACCTACAGCGACCGCAACGCCGTTTGGCCGAAGCATTATGCTGCAAGCACTGCTTGTGTAGTGATGTGAGTCTAGACACCGAAAAATGCTCCAATGGCTTAGAAAGCAGGGGCAAGGAATCTTACAAGTGCGTCGTTACTCCAGATTTACCAGATAACTTGCGACACTTTGCAAATCATTGAACCACATGTCACTCAACTCCTTGATCTACCCATTTGCAGCCTATTGACCCCTGTTGCGCTGAACCAAAGAAGACCGCTCGGCGCCGAGCCGCTTCTTCACCATGGGCAGCGGTGCCAGCAAGAAGGCCTCGAAGGAAGCTGCGCGCGGGGCGGCACCCCGCAGTACGAAAGGCCGGGGATCGGGAGCAGGGGGAAGAGGCGGAAGAGGGGCCAGGCCCCGAAGTAGACCTGGAAAGTGCGAGCAGAACATATTATTTATATGTGTATAAGATTATAAGATATCTAAGAGGGGTCTGTCCGAACTTACCTGCAACAGTCAGTAAATAAGTAACATCACATGACATGTTTTTGAACAAGGCCTTTGCTAACCATCATCATCCATTGTTACTGGTTGCTTTGCCTTACATGGCTTGAAACACAAGGCATTCACATTTTCCAGGGCTAGGTATTCGGGGTTGGTACCCTGCTCTACATGGAATCCCTATTCTGGTGCAGGGTCAGGATGTTTACTTGGGGATTGACAAATATCTCAAGCAAGTCAGTCCACCCGCCAGGAACTTCAAAAATCCTTGGCACATCCAAGGTACACCATTACCTGCCCCTGAGGCGTATTACATTTCTTTCGAACAATTAGTTTCCAACATTCGCACAGCTTCGCTGTAAGATCTTGCCAATTCATAGGATTAGGCTGCTAGTACGCTTTTGCCGACTAGTTGTCTGTGGACACAATACGTGTCCTGATAAGCTTGAAAGCGGAAAAAGAGAAATCCATTGTGACTGGTAATGGGATAGACCCAATATATATACTAATATAGTCATATTTCAAGACTTTGGGTCAGAAAAAAACCTGACAGAGGAAGCCCATCATTTGGGCTTTTTTCGGTGACCTGGCCATTTTGGTGATTCTCGGATTCAAAGTTGGTCCCGTTTTTTTCAGAACTTGGTCGTTTGCTGAACTTGGGACTGGAATCGTTACTTGCGATATACTTACGGCATGGGTCATCAACGGGATATGACATGTAGTATGTCACTGTACATTTCATATCCCATGGATGGTCTGGGTTCTCTCCAAATCACGCTCGGGGTGCTGCTCCATGCCAAGAACTTGTCAGATGTTCCAAACAGATCCATTCCAGCTTGGAACGACCGTTTGTGGGTCCCAGTTGCTTCAACCAAGACATCCACACTTACATCCACGTACATGGGGGGTTGGGAGATGGTTTTATATTGTTTATAATACTAAATGAACCATCACCAAGCCAGCTTGGTGACTCTCCCTTGAACTCGCATGGAAGTGGACAACCCGTTTTTGTTGGTCTTCAGATGGCGTCTTCCAAAGGACCATGATGGTCCAGTCGTCACCATGTTAGTTCTAGTGAGCCGATGTGGAAATCCTACCCCCCGTCCAGGATAGTCCAGGGTGATGATTTTATCTAAGTGAACCATCACCAACCAGAAGGTTGGTCCCCGTTTTGACCCGAACTCAGGACGGAATGGTCGTTCGCTGGGTCCTTTCAACCATCCCCATCATCACCACCCTATCGCTTGGTCGTTCGCTGAACTGTACATCCTTTGGCCAGGCTCGACCTCAAGCCGATCCTCTGCGTCTTCGGCTCGGTCCTCTACCGGGACCGTGCGATCACTGCAAAGGAAGAAGAGCAACAAGGAGAAGGCACGGGTCGTCGATCGGTCATCGCATTCCCAGCAGATGGTGTTGGATTGATCATTTATGTTCGTTGGTTCGATCTGACATGTGTTCGGATGTCTTGGTGAAAAAAATACTTCAAGCCTCCGGTGTCATGATCGTGTTGTCCAATGTTGCAAGTGCACCTGTTTGCGGGCAGTTGAGCTTGATAAGAACGAAGTAGACTAACTGCAGATAGATCTTCCTCAGCTAGCTTGCTTTGATAAGGGATTGTCATGCAGGTCTTGTTTTGAATAGCATATATAAAGGCGGGTCATGTTTGGCTACTCAGTGAGCTCCAGAGAAGGTTTCTATCATTCTCCGAACTCCTCGGAAGAGACAGAAGGTAGAAATCGTCCCACTAGAGGAAACGCCTTAATCAGCTGTCGGGCTTTACCTCGAGACTCTATAAAATATAGATAAATAGGTTCAGCATTATTGCTTTGGAAGCAGGAAGCAACTTGAGTGGTAGTCTAGCAAATACTGTGGTTTCAGAGTAAATGGCACTGGCACAGATGTCTTTTAGATGGGCTCCTAATACAAACCACCTAATTTGGGGCCCTTGCGCCATCTACTCTCAATCCACTAGAGGTACAAGGTACTTGCCCTAGGGATCCAAATACCCTCTCAGAAGGTACTTGGACCCTCGAAACCTACATAACAGTGTCTCCAATCACCTCCTGAGAAAGTACTTGGATCCCTAGGGTTGGGCTGTGCAGGACAACTTGGCACACGACTTGCCAAAGCGAGTACTAGTCGGTCTTCCACTTGCACACTAGTTGGATCTCAGTTTCCCAGCACCAGTTCACAAGTCCTGGACATGGAGGAGAAGCCTAATTAGTAGGCCTGGTGGGATTAAGGCAGCTATGGTGGTGAGAGGAGAATTCATTTGAAACACCATTCCTCACATATCAGACCCAAACTGACACCCTGAAGCAAGACTTGGACTGAACCACCCACCGCAAGTGAGTCAGAAATGTGAAGCTTCCACCCTTACCCTCGCCTGGGCTGGAGGGGTGCATTCTCCGCCCAACCGTGGGATGGGGTCCAAATCATGGAAAAAAAACACACACAGCTCTTCTTCTTCGTAAGTGGATCGAACGAATACATCAGCGGTCCGCCGTTCATGGCACACTTCCGGGGATTCGGATTTTGTTGCAGGGATTTGGCAACAACTCGATGCAGGCAGTTTGGAGTCGGTAGTGACCTTGAGTTTCTGTATCGTGAGCATGAAAACAGATCAATACCACCCCAGTACAAGGATGATCCAAGATACTCACAGCCACAAAATTGAGCCAAACCCTGCAGCTCAAAAGCTTCATTTGACTGGAGTTGGTCATAGAAAAACACGCCTCAAGGAGGTCAAAGGCTAGGTTTAACTGGGTCAGACTCGACTTGTGAAACCTTTCATCTAGAGACCCTGGCGTCCCTGGCGCCTCCAGAGGCAGGAACCCGGACCGAGAAACCGGCCGCGGCGCCCGTGGTGCCCGTGGTGCCGAGCGAGCCGGAGAAACTGGGCACCAGGGCCTCGCTGCCGTTGGAGATGATTCAGGAGGGCGTTTCACTCGACCAGTCATGGAATGACGACTCGTCAGGTGGAGGTGGTTTGAGGTTGAGGTCCGAATGGGATGGAATTCCCCAACAAGGGCAGCGTGCCGCTACACGCGGCCAGTTTGTATGTTTCGACCAGTTGGGCATGTGTTTCATCATACTATCCTGGAAGGAGAGGAGATGCGCTTTTGAGATGGGGATTTCATCATGACTCTTGGAACTAGGCTGGTCAAATCTTGGATGTGTAGACGACTTCGAAGCACTGTCTGTGGTATCCGTTGGGTGTGCAATTGGGTTTTCGGAAGGACGGACGGACGGGAAGAGCTCCCTCCACCAGGGTGTCCCGTCTCTCCAAAGTAGGATGGGTTCTGGCTGAGACCAAACCACCCTGTCTCAAACTCTTCGGCATGTTTTTCTTTTGGCGCAATCCCGGGCCACTCAGTGCCACTTCGATTGAACGATTGAACGGCTTGCAGGAGGAGTTGGACCTTGAAGATCCATACTTCGAGCAAGAGGTGTTTACGAACAGCCAGCCCGACTTCCCCAGCACGCCCTCCACTTCGGTGGTTCCTTTGGAAGCTGCAGGTACGGGCAACCGGCGCCCAAACACATGTTTTTTGGTGTGTGTTTTCTTGTTTTTGTAGAGGTTGGGACACCTTGGCAGGGTCATGTAGAAGAGATTGTACATAGATCTTCGATGTGTCAGCAGGAAACGACAGAATGTGTTGAACCATGTTACAACCTACACAACCTAGTCGGACTGGTTTGGATGTGAAGACTTGTCAAAACCCTAAGGATCCAAGTCTTAGTACCTTCTCAGGCATGGTGATGTGTTCGACACCGTTATGTAGCTTTGGAGGGTCCAGTCGTACCGAACCTGAGGTTCGGTACGACTGGATCCCTGGGGAAATATCATGCTTACATAGAGATCAATCGTATTCAATCGTAGAACACATGTCCGTTTAACTTCTCGTCGACACGTCCGTGAGTGGAGCTGGAGAGCTGTCCGTTTGCGGATTCCAAAACGCTTTGCATTAGACTGGGTGGTCGGGTTTAGCCTGGAGAGAGTGCACTGAAATGGCAGCATGAGTTAGGAGCCAACTGCTGGGTTCAAAACCAACTCCACCTAACATAGATACCAGTGCAAAAGTGTTTGGAGGACAGAGGCATTTGGATGGCATTGGTATCGGATTTGACGATCAGACGACAGAGGCCTTTTGACACATTCACGGCACAGATCATAATAAACACATGATTTTTTTGACAGATAGAAAGGTCGGACGCCATGTCTGAACAGCGCTTTTCCCCCCTTTTGATGCAGACACCGACTTCAGCCGCCCTTCCCAAACCCTTCACCGACCTTTTGATGCAGCCGGGCTTGGTCCACACCCCCATGCACGGGATCAGCAGTAAACGACCCCCACTGACCCCACTGACAAGGCACATGGGTGGACCGCCCGACCGCCCCACGTGCGACCTTCGTGCGACGGCTGCGCGTAGCGTCGGAGGCCATCCCTTTTGCCCAGACCATGACACGCCGTGAGCCTCGTGAGGAGGTCACCGGTGCCGGGGGTTGGAACGGGGGTCGGGTCGGACTTGGTCATGCGGTAGGGAACTCCTGCGGCTGAATATGATACTCAGTTGGCATATGAATATGGTCTTTCTGTGACCACAATCACCTTAGTCAAGAACCCAGACTATTCGGTGTACAAGAGCTTTTTCATCAACAGCTTGTCACCAGCATGGGTTTGCCAACGGATTGACATATGTGAAATGATGTTACGCGTTCTCATGGTACAACTGGTGTTGGGTCGTGTGTGGGGGGGTCAATTTGCCAAAAAGGTTGAAGATGGATGAAGATGGTATAAAACGTGGCATGTATTCATGCTGATCCACCTGTGAACTTCTCGGTTATTTGTCTGGTGATTCAGAGGGCAATGAAAGGCACATCGTGCTGCGTGCTGCGTGCCATTTCGAAGAGGGCTGAAATGTTGGCCATGATTTGTTGGGATCCTTGCAATCGTTCAAGCTCTACTAGACTTACTAGACGACGAATTTTAGGACATTACGCCTTACGATGCCTTACGCCTTGGAAAAACTCATTTCTTTGATATGTTTGGAAGCTTGGCATCACTTTAACGAGGTTTCAGAACTTCAGGTCGCTTGAATGACCCAAAAGATGTTGACAGCGACAGCGTGATGTTCTCATTTTTGAAGTGCCCAAGTTTCGGGTCGACCACCATCCACCCATGTCACCAATCATTTGGCAATCCCAGAACGTGCTCTGAAACGTCTGAAAGAAAGCACGTCTCAAGCTGACTTAAATGAAAACGAAGTGGATGAACCTCCAGGGATATTCTATAGTCGATGTGTTCTATGTAGAACTATGGCAAACTCATTCAGTGCCCTCTGCAAATGCTGCGGGTGTGGTTGATTGATAGTGACCCATGTTGCCAGACTGCTGTATGCTCAACATAGAAAGACTTCGCGCCGAACCCCCTGTCAGGACCTGACCCTGTGACACTGAGTTGAGGGCCATGCTTGACAATGACAGGGTTTGTGTTGCTATCGTTGGTTAGAGCGCATCTCACAAGACAGCCACCTTTAGGTGTAGTGATAGCGAAGAGGTCAGGACTTTGTGGGATAGGCAGATAGGCACTCTGTTTTTTGGACAAAAGCGGCTGTGAATGAAATCTGGGGCGACCTTGTTTGACCACCCTGACTGAACAGAACAGACTACCAGGCACATCAACCTTCCTTGTTTTGGAGCTCGAGGTTTTGACCCACCAAACGAAAGCGTTGGTCCCTGAAAAGAACAGTTTGTTGGGTGTTGTGTTTTTTCCCATTACGTAGTACTTTGGGGTGAATTCCGTGGCGCACCATTGCAACTTGACCCATTGTCCTGGTGTGTCTGACAAGTAAATTTTCACTTGCCTACTAAGCCAGTTTGGCAAAACGTAGACCAGCAACGCAAGCCCTGACACCATGTGACACCATGTGACACTCGATAAGAGGCAGGACAATCTGGTCCTAAACTCTGCCCTTACTCTTTGTTGCTCCGGATGGTTTTTAGCTTCGTCAGCAACCTTTCTGAGCGCTTGAGATTTACGAACGTGCAGCTTGCGGCGCACGCACACATCCAATGCGCGCGCCGTTTGGTGCGCGCCCGAAACACATGTGTTGCGCTCATAGAAGACTGGAACTTTGCGCTTGTCTTGGTTTACCATGGGAGACTGGATATTAACCATGAGTTTGTCTTTATCTCTGGGGAGAATACTCATTCAATGGATCTTGCCTTCACCAAAGGTTCAATGGGTACTGATCTTGACACATCTTGACATGTTGTTTGTTCCACGGCACTTTGGCAAGTCCACGTGTCACGGCCAGATGCCACAGTAGTTGCAACACCACTTTCGCTGGAGGAGAAAAGACAGCCTTGACAAATTGAAACTGGATGCCTTCAGTCTACGGTTGTGGAGATGATTTTCCTTGGGCTCCCTCAAGGGGACCCTCGCGCTTTGAGGATGTTGGTGGGAGCTGGCATTGCTCTGTCAAAGCAAGATTCCAAGTGTTCCATTGTGAAATCGAACTCCTAAAGCAACCGCTGTAGTTTCAATCATCCGTAGCGGCTCTAAGTCCCAAGTAGGAAGAACAACAGCTTTGCCATGTCAGCTAGTTACGGATGGCACATACCGTTCTACGGAACCAGGACCGGACGCGAAACAAGGACCGGAACCTTCCGAGTTCGATGGATCCTTCGCTCGAACGGCAGTGTTTGCTTCGATGGATCCTTGGGACACGGCCTGGCGCTGCGCCAGGCGGGGGAAATCGGGTCTTTTGATGACTGTGACTAGGGGTTCTTCGCCGAAAAGCACCATCAATTGACACATGGAAGAAGAGTCAGGCTCCAATACCAGCTTCTTCAGTACGTGACCTTTTGAAGGTTCCTACGTGACCCTTAGGAGGCTTAAGTGACCGAACCAACCAGGTTATCAAGTACGGTCACTTTGAAGAACCAGGTAGGTGTGTTTTTTTGAACATCATTTCACTGACTTGGGTGACACTCAACGTCTTAGCCAGGTCCAGAGCCCGGAATCAAGCAACAATAGATTTCTTGCAAAGGGATCAGTTGGGGTCTAAACTCTAAACACGGGCCTTTACAAAAGCTCGGTGTTGTTTTTTGTTTCTGAAAAGGATTCTACAGCCAAACCTTGAAGTTTCCTCGAGGGAGTTTTGTGGAGTCTCATTGAATGCCGCTCCCTCTTCCTCAGTTGGCGTATGCTTGACCAGTTGCATCAAGTTGCCAACACAGTAGGCTCCAGAGAAAATCTGCAGGTTTTTCACCATCAATGGTATTTGCATGATGCTGGTCAGCACTCTTCTCCACATGAATGCTTTCACTGGACGACCAACTTATCTTATGAATTGCTCCAGTTCCGCTTGGGATCTGCACATCTCTTTTTGTGGCCTGAAGAGCCACCACCTGCTGCTTTTGGATCATCCTCATGGAGCCCTGAAGGGCTCAAGTATTGAAGGTCGCTCAAAGACCAACTGGAGGATGCGGTGATCATTAGCAATGCGGTGAATTGTAGTATGTTCTAGTTCTTGAGTCGTGCTCGCACAAGCCTTGATCATTTTGTGATGGTGGGAATCAGCCAAAGTTGGGGTAGAAGAGAGTCAGAAGTAAATCTGATGATTTTGCAGGAGCTCAAGCAAATATGTTGGGGTGGTTGGAACAACAATTTTGCGGTTGTTGTTCCTAAAGGTGCGTTTGATGCTCCCATATATATATATGATATGATATGATATGATAATTGTTATATTTCACACATTTACGTATTTAGTTGTCTATATATTCAATAACAACTCCCGGGAAGTCCCGCGAAATCCCACCGATGCTCGTTGGACGCTCCCCAACTTTGGCCTAAGACTCCTGATCTGTTTTTTACATCACAAGAAGCCGAACAGGCAGAAGGCATACGGAGCTGCTCAGTTCAGTTTTGCCCGGATTTTCAACTTGACTCGGGAAGACAACATGGTCGGCACTTGGAGCTGTTTGACGGTGGGATGTTGACATGCAAGGGCTCGGGACTGGAGGAGCTCTTGATCAAACCTTTCGCAAAGTGGTTGCGGTAGCTGTTACCTTTTGAGAAGGACCAAAGAAGGCCGGGGGGGAACAACAAAAAAACACTCATATTGCGCATCTCGATCCATTCAAGATGCATGTTCTTTGGTTTCACGGTTGCTTCTGCGCGAGTCAGGCCAAGCACAGTAAAGGGTCTTCGAAGTAGATGTTGTGTTGAAGGTGTACGAAGCTAGTGACTGCCGCAATTGCCGGTGTAACGTGAGAGCCTGGGGAAACTGCACGGGAATGCTTAGTAAGTAGCTTCTTGTTACTAGTAGCGATGGCCTCCAACCTAATAGCGATGGCCTCCACCTAATAGCGTCCTTGTTGCTAGTAATGCAAATCTTGGGGCAGGATGTACGCTTGGGAGCAGAGCGTGGCAACCAGACCACCTTTTTCCAGCACAGGGTAAGGATGTCTCCGTGTTTTGCTGAGGATATACCGATATACAATACGTACTATACCATTAAAAAATACACGGAGCATCACGGAACAGTAATTACAATGTCTGAATGAATCTCATGACTGAATTTGCATGGAAAAATGCAGTATGCCCAGTATGCCCTGCCTCGCAGAACCGGCCCTACCATGCCCTACCTGCACGCCGTCCGACACCTCGTGTCTCCGTCCGACACGCGGAGACACGACACGCGTCGAGACACGACCAGGAGTGTCAAGGGCTTTTGCAACGTCTCGCCGTCCTGCAAGACGAGAACGTGATGCTCCGTTGCCGGGTGGCTGCGCTCAGGAGAAGAGGGCTGCGCCTTCGGCGGAGAGGCGGAGCTGCGTCCTCAAGACACCCACAAACCTCCATGGAAAAACCTTGGGAGCCTGAGTTTTGATACATTTGATTGAATTTGGAGATCTACAAAATCTGGAATGAAACTATAGATTCAATGAATGTTCAACCATGTTCAACTTGGTTCACTGATTCACACATTTAGGAATGCAGCACTTTTGAAGGAGTTCGAAACAAACTGCATAGTCGCACGTGGCTCGGCTAAATTGTCCAAGTGGTCTAGGCCCAAATCAGCCTCTTCGTTGGGTACAGTTGCAACATGTTATAACTCAGACGTTCGCAGCATCGATGGATTCATTTCCTTGGCCTGGTCACGTTGAGCATGCTACCCGTTTGCAAGAATCCTCGGATGCTACCCGTTTGGCGGGCGACGGCGATCGATTTAGGTCGGTGGTGGGAGATCCTGGCGGGAGGTGACACGTTGAAAGTGATTACTCGTATGACTCGTGTATATATATAATATATATATATATATGCCGGGACCATCCAATGGGTGTCCTGGCTGGAGATACGCCCTCATGAACGCGGGCTTCCCCAAAACCACCCAACTCTCCCCCCTACATGTTCAAGGGAAATCAGGTGGATGATCATGTTGGGGAGATAATCTTTGCTTCACTATAGGACTAAGCGCCATGCGACTCCCAGGCAGGGGAGCTGGCATCGACTCACCGTACGCGTGGGGAGGGTGCTGTGCAAGAGGCACCTGTCGGGTGCTGTGCAGCACGGCGAGTGGGGCACAGGAAGGATGTACCAGGTTCAACCAGCTGACATAGCCGCGCCTAGATCAAGGTGCTCCATGAACATAGCCTAAGAGCTTGGGTGTGTGTGTGTGTGGTTGTTCGATTGTAGCATGGCTATACATGGTTAAGATTGTCTCCTGTAACAGTGGCTTCTTGCTGGGTCACCCTCTTTGACATACTGACATGTCCCTCATATGTGAAGAACATCCTGGGAGATGGTAGCCTAGTTGAAGACTTGTATATAGCTGGTTTGAGCTTTGGATTACTGTACCGTATTTTGACAATTGTGAGATGCAAGGGTATGTTTCCAGGTCATGTTTGGCACTTGGTGTTGGTCTAGTGGGCTGCGGTTCAATACAGTACTGAGTGCCAAAGACATACTATCCCTATAAGTCCAATCACCTTCTCAGAAGCGACCCTCCAAACCTACATAACGGTGTCTCCAATGACCTTCTGAAAAGATACTTGGATCCCTAGGGTATAAACCATGGTCAAGATTCAAGATGTATCAGGATTGTTTGCAAACAATCACCCCTTAGGAGAGTGTCGTTGCTATTTGGGATGCTCACTTGGATTTGGGTCGACCCACTGCACTGCCAAGTCACCATATTGAAGACATTGAAGTTCCTCTTCAACACCAAACGTCCGACGCTCTTCTTGGAGGAGGGTGCAAGAGAGTCCTCTACAACTCTATCAAGACACAACAACATCACACAGCCATGATCCCAAAGAATGCATGGAACTAATGGCGGACATTCCGCTAGTGGAATATGGAGACTCCCTAGTTCGGTTTGCGTTTCCTTTGGGCAAAAAGTCTCAAGGGGTCTTCCTATCCCCAATGCACACCCAAATGTTCCACCCAAAGGCTCAGCACGAGTTTTGACCCTCACAACTAGGGCCTATATAACTAGGCTTTTGGA